TAAATTAAATTATAATAAAAAATTGAATTAAAAAATTACACAAAAATGAGGAATTTTAAATAGTTAATTTTGATACGAATATCGATATAACTTTGTAAATAAACTTTATAAAAAATAATAAGATATTTAACATCATTAGTGAGAACGAAAATTTACTATTTTTTTAAACATTTGATTATAGGAAGTTATTTAAATTGGATTTTATTATCAGTTTTCTACTTTATCTATATTATATTATATTATAAAACATTTGATAAAAACTCTTAAAAATCATTTTTTATGCATGAAGTACTATTTATCGATGCATATTAATTTAAAATTCAAGATTACAAGTCAATTATATATAAGTACAACTTATTAAAGCTCCATGTTTGAATTTGTATAATTAACTATGAATAAAGATAATCAAATAAAAGATAAATATCTCATTTTAAAATCTAAAAAATCTAAAATATAATTAAGATAATTATTGAGTTCAAACAAAATAATTACTTATTATCTTTATAAAAAATTATATTATTAAACCAAATATAAATTATTTCGTTATTGAACCTAAATTATAATAAAGTACACAAAAAATAGGAATTTTAAATAGTTAATTTGATACTGCTATCGATATATTTTTGTTAAATTTTTATTATATCTTCAAATTTGTATTTTATTCACAAATAAAAACATTATTGATTTTTTCAAAATCACATAAGACCATACTATAACATCGACTGAGATAAAGAATAAAATAAAATATTAAAATCAAGATGTATCTCGCTGTATTGCGTGAGTATTCTTCTAATTTATTTTAAAGAAGGTTTTAAAAGATCCTTTGAAACAAAAATAATAATCTAAAATTTCAAAATCTCCATTTTTTTAATTTTTGAGAATTTATTGAAAGATTATATTAGTTCTAAATCAGTTTTGTCAATATAACAGTTAGGGTCTGTTTAAAAAAAATAAGTAAACTAACAGACTTTTACTAGTCGGTTAATGTATATTTTTTGGGCTAAAAAAATGTAGGTAACCAATTTTTAAAAGTACAATTGTTTATTTATTTTATAAATATTCAGGGATTTAATCAATCAAAATTGAAAAAGTTTAATAGTTTTTTCATTCAAAAAAAGAAAGTTTAATGGTCTTCATTCAAAGAATAGTTCAGAAACATAATTATTTAAAATGAGAAAATTTAATTATTTTTATTTAAAAAAAATAATAATCTAAAAACTTAATTATTGAAAATATTTTTGTAGTTTTGCCGTTATTATTTAAAAGAAACAAATGGGATCCAACCCATGGCGTTGCTGGAACCATGAAACTCATGTGAATTATAAAAGGAGCAAGTACGCATCAAGGGTCAAAAGGACGTTTAGGCAGGTCTTCAAATCTAAATCAAATACCTTTTCATATTAAAAAAACACGGTATGATTTGTATGTATATAAACGCATGTTTATCAATAATTAAATAAACAAATTATAGAACTTTATGAGATACAATAAATTATATATATATATATATATATATATATATGTGTGTGTGTGTGAGTGTATTTATATTTATGATAATCAAACAAATTAATAAATTGGAATTGAATTTACATTTTGTAGAGATAATTTAAATATATAAAATGGCAATTTCCATGTAAAGGGGTGTGAAAAAGAAAAAGAACGAGAATCAAACGTCATTATATCTTACTAGAAGGGTACTTGCACAATACAGCGAGATAAATCTCCATTTTAGTGTTTAGTTTTAATTCTTTTGTCCCTATCGATATAATACAATTTTATATGATTTGAGAAAGTGATAATGTTTTATTTTTGAATGAAATATAAATTTGAAAATAACATAAAAGTTTGAAAAAAATAAATTGATATTAGTATCAAATGGTTCTAGTTTTTTTGGTATAACTTCTTTAATTTAATTTTTTATTATAATTTAATTTAGGTTTAATAATAAAATAATTTATTTTTGATTTAATAATATTTTTTATAAGGATAATAAGAGTACATTCTGTTAAAACTCAATGATTATCTTAATTATATTTTAGATTTTATATATTTAAAATGGATGTTTATTCTGTATTTGATTATGTTTATCTATAATTAGTTACACGGATTTAAAAATGAAGCTTTAATAAATAGTATTTATGCAAAACTATTTGTAATCTTGAATTTTAAGTAATATGTATCAATAAACAGTACTTAATGCATAAAAAAAATATTTTTAAGAGTTTTTGTCAAATCTTTATAATATAGTATAGATTTATTCCAGTTTTATAATTGAGTATGTTGGAACCCTATTTATATACATCTTCACTAATTTTATATTCCTTGTTTTATTACAATAAAAATATACACAATTTTATGTGTAATTGTTTATAATTTTTAATTAAACTAGAAGCGTACTCGCGCAATGCAGCGAGATACATCGTGATTTTAATATTTTATTTTATTCTTTATCTCAGTCGATGTTATAATATGGCTTTATGTGA